TGAACCCAGGAGGCAGAGGTGGCAGTGAGCTGAGATGGTGCCACTGCACTCCAGCATCGGCAACAGAGCGAGAGCCCACCTCAAAAAATAATAATCATTTCAATCTTCTTAAATCTGTTAAACCTTTATAAAAGTTTATGATCTACCCTGGGAAATGTTCCACATGCATTTGAGAAGAATGTATACTCTGCTGCTGTTAGATGAAATGTTCTGTATATGTCTGCTCTATATATTGGTTATAATGGTTGTTCAAGTCACTCTGTTGTCCAGGCTGGAGTGCAGTGGCACAATTTCAGCTCACTGCAACCTTCGCCTCCTGGGTTCAAGTGATGCTCGAGCCTCAGCCTCCTGAGTAGGTGTGATTCCAGATGTGCACCACCACACCCAGCTAATTTTTGTACTTTTAGTAGAGGCAGGATTTCACCATTTTTGGCCATGCTGGTCTTGAACTCCTGGCCTCAAGTGATCCACCCACCTCAGACTCCAAAAGTGCTGGGATTATTGGCATAAGCCACTGCTCTCAGACCGAGATTCTTTATGTTTGACTTTTGACAAATATGTCTCAAGAACCTCATTATGCTCAAGTATTTTGAGTATTATAGGCTTCATGGGGATGGATGTTTGTTTTCCTCTCTAGATTTGGGAATTTTTCTGTCATTACTTCCTGAAGTAAGTTTTCCATCCCTTTCTTTCTGTGCTCCTCCTTGGATTCCCATAATGCATATACTGGCTGGACTGATGATGTCCCATAAGTTTCATAAACTTTCCTCACTCATTTTCATTCTTTTTCATTACAATGAAAATGGTTGAGATGATAAATGTTATATGTACTTTATCACCATTTAAAAAAAATGTTTGCTACATCTATACAGTGGAATACAATGCAGTAATAAAAAGAAAGAAAAATTTTTAAAGGACGGATAAAAAACAATGTCTACTGTTGAGTGAAAATGCGTGGGCACCTAACAGTGTAAAAACTAAGGAGGAGGAAAATACACATTAATTTGCTTGTACAAAATATCTCAAGAGGGATACATAAAAAGCGGCAACATTGGTTTCTTCTTAGAAGTAGATAGCCATGGGGAACAGAAGCAGAAGGGAGACTTCTCTGGAAATCTTTTTGGTACTTTGGAATTTTTGTTCAAGACAGGGTTTCACTCTGTCGCCCAGGCCGGAGTGCAGTGGAGTGTACAATCATAGCTCACTGCAGCCTTGACTTCCTGGGCTCAAGTGATCCTCCCACTGCAGCATTTCGAGTAGCTGGAAGTATAGGTGTGTGCCACCACACCCAGCTAATTTTTTTTTATTAATTTTGTAGAGCTGGGGTCTTGCATTGTTGCCCAGGATGGAACCTTTGGAATTTTGAATCACAGAAACCATTTTACAAAAATAAATGAAAATGCAAAACATGGTGTCTATATACTGCTCACACTTTTATGTTGGCATCACAAACTAAAATTCCACCAGAAGCCCGGTAGGAAATACAAGGGAGTGAAATCAGCATGTCTGGAACCTTGGCAACTGGAGAAAGAACACCTCTTTACAGGATACAAGGTCAAGTGCAGTCTTGGCACAAAGGATGCCAAGAGAAGTTGAAGAGTTAAATTTGTATGTGAAAATTTCTGACTCTGACTTGTTGAAAAAATACTTTATTGATTATATATAACCAGAAATGTATACATAGGTTCACAGCTCAATTAGTATTCATGAAGTGAACACAGTGCAACCAACATCCAGATCAAGAAAGAGAGAATAGCCAGCCCAGCCAGTCACTAGCTCCCCACCTCAACCCCAACGAGGAACCACTATCCTGACTTCTAACAGACTGGATTAGTTTTGCCTGCTTCTGTACATTATATAAACAGAATCGCATGATATATACACTTTTGGGTCTGGCATCTTTCTCTCTACATTATGCTAGTGAAATTAATCGTACTGTCTTATGTAGTTGCATATGGGTCATTTTCATTGCTGATGGTCTTCCATTTATTCACCTATTCTTCTGTTGATTGGCATTTAGGTTGCTCTCTGTTTGGGCTTATAACACATTGTTCACCTATAAATATTCTATTTCATGTCTTCTGGTGAAATATTTAAGCATTTTTGTTGTGTATCTTTCCTGAGTCCTGAAAGTGTCTGTTTAGGTTTAAAAGATACTGCCAGCTGGGCATGGTGACACATGCTTGTAGTCCCAACTACTTGGGAGACTGAGGCAGCCCAAACTTGAATCCAGTTCTGGGCTGCAGTGTGTTAGGCCGATCAGGTGTCTACACTGTGATTAGCATCATTATAGTGACCTCCCAGGGAGCAAAAGACCCACACGTTTGCCTATGAAGGGTGAACCGGCCCAGGTCAGAAACGGAGCAGGTCAAAACTCCCATGCTGATCAGTAGTGGGATCATACCTGTAAACAGCACTGCATTCCAGCCTGGGCAACAAAGTGAGACCCTGTTTGTTTTAAATATATATATATAAGGCCAGGCGCGGTGGCTCACGCCTGTAATCCCAGCACTTTGGGAGGCCGAGGCGGGAGGATCACGAGGTCAACAGATAGAGACCATCCTGGTCAACATGGTGAAACCCTGTCTCTACTAAAAATACAAAAATTAGCTGGGCATGGTGGTGCACGCCTGTAGTCCCAGCTACTCGGGAGGCTGAGGTGGGAGAACTGCTTGAACCCAGGTGGCGGAGGTTGTGGTGAGCCGAGATCGTGCCATTGCATTCCAGCCTGGGTAACAAGAGCAAAGCTCCATCTCAAAATAAAAATAAAAATAAAAATTAAAAAAAAAAAAAATATATATATATATATATATATATACACACACACTGCCAAATAATTTTTCATTTGAGTTCTGGTTGCTCCATTTGTTTGTGTTGGCAACTTAAAAAAACTAGGCCAAATAAATAATCTGTGGACCATCAAGTTGTCACCTCTGGCCTAGCGCAGCTTCAGTTCTTATGGGAGAAAGATCTTTATGGGGTAAGTCCAAAAGCATATCACTCCCTTGCTTAAGACCTTGCAGTATCCCTCAATCTTTGAATGACTGAACTCCATGACGGGCTGCTGCTCTTTTTTTTTTTTTTTTTTTT